AAGTGGGCTGTAGTCCACGAAAGCTTATGCTCTAATAAATTTGTTAGTCTCTAAGGTGCCACAAGTACTCCTGTTCTTCTTTTTTGCGGATACAAACTAACACGGCTGTTACTCTGAAACCTGTAGTTTGGTATTAGTCATTCAGTGTTTCTTAACCAGGGGTACGCGTACCTCTGGGGGGTATGCAGAGGTCTTCCAGGGGGTACATCAACTCATCTAGATATTTATCTAGTTTTACAACAGGCTACAAAAAAAATACTAGTGGAGTCAGTACAAACTAAAATGTTGTAAGCAAGTAGCTTTTAAGTGAGGTTAAACTTGGGCGTACGCAAGACAAATCAGACTCCTGAAAGGGGTACAGTAGCCTGAAAAGGTTGGGAACCGCATTGTAGAAATGTGTTGGGCTTTTTTTTTTAAATAGTCAAAGAAATACAGCACTCATATTCTACCCAGCATTATAAATAGAGTAACATGTATTAATCATTGCTGCTAAAAGGTGAAATGGAGTTTTTTAAAGCTTTTAATTACAATTAGCCTTTCTAAAGGACTTGTCCACACACAGAAGTTGTACTATTTTAACTATCCCTGTTTAATTAATGTAATACAACGCCCCTGGCGTGGACACAGTTATACAGTATCAGTATAAAGCACCATTATACTTTATGCCAGTATAAAGGTGATTTATACTTGTATAACTATTCCTGTGATGGAAGAGAAAAGTATAATGTTCCTTTATACCAGTATAACGTTGTCCACACGAGTGGGTGTACTGATATAACTATTTTGGCAAGAAATCACACTTCTAGTTAAAAACTGTGCATGGATCACATCTTAGAACTTGATTTGTAGCCCACTGGAGTTGGTAGCAGTCTTTCCATTGACTTTGGCTTGGTCTATATTAGAAAACTTGTCCCCGTGTAACAAAATCGATTTAAAATCAATATGGTTTCACTGGTGCATGTCTGTATTATTTATCATTTCTATGGTAGTAGCATCCAGACGCTCCAGACCCATTGTGTTAGGCACTGTACAAACAGGCCTATGACAACCCCTGTCTCAAAAAGTTTACAAACCACAGCAGGGATTCGCAATAAACTAAACAAATCTATTTAGTTATATTGGTGCAAGTTTTCCAGTTATCCTTGGGCTTTGATCTGGCCCTTGGGGTGAAATTCTGACCTCAATGAAATTAATGACAAAAATCCCATTTGCTTCAATAGGGCCAGCATTTCACCCTGAGCAAATAAGAACAGGAATACTTGTGGCACCTTAGAGACTAACAAATTTATTAGAGCATAAGCTTTCGTGGACTACTGTAGTAGTCCACGAAAGCTTATGCTCTAATAAATTTGTTAGTCTCTAAGAAATTCGGATGCTGTAGTCCACGAAAGCTTATGCTCTAATAAATTTGTTAGTCTCTAA